TTAGCCTTTGTCACTTAAGCGATACCAGATGTTGCTTAAGTGATCAACTCCAAGGCAGAATCAAGATCATCCCCAAGTGCACGATCGCTTAAGCGATGTTGAGTCTTGCTTAAGCAATCTAGTATATTTAACCTTCGCGTAAGCGATCAACTCCAAGGCAAAATTAAGATCATCCTCAAGTGCACGATCGCTTAAGTGATGTTAGGTCTCGCTTAAGCGATCTAGTTTATTTAGTCTTCGTCACTTAAGCGATACCAGATATCGCTTAAGCGATCAACTCCAAGGTAGAATCAAGATCATCCCCAAGTACATGATTGGCTAAGCAATGTCAGATCTCACTTAAGCGATCCAGTATAGGAAACCTTTGAACACTTAAGCGATATAGCGATCATTCCCAACACATATTAATTCCATCCTTTCTCCTCAATTTGACAACCTAATTGCACCAACACATATTAATTCCATATTTTCTCCTCAATTTGACAACCTAATTGCATCAACACATATTAATTCCATAGTTTCTCCTCAATTTGACAACATATTTGCATCAAGACATATTGATTCCATTTAACAAGCACACTATATAAACTCAAAGTCAAAAAAGGGAAAGAAATACTGAATTGCTCTTTTATAAATATGAAATGTGTCCTTTACATGAAAATACAACATTATACACAAGAAATAAATGTCCTAAAGCAACCCAAGATAACAGCAACCTCGGCAACCTCCATCTTCCCTCTTCATCATTGTCTTCAACCACTTCCTCATCATCCAAAATTATCCAGCACCTATTAAGCATCAGTAGTAGCCTCTTCGTCTAACAACACCAGCTGATCCAATTCAAGACAACCCAATTATCTACATAAGAAATGCAATTCACATAAATTACAAAACTCTAAGTCCAACTTTCATACCTGTTGATGACAGCATCAACAATGACTTGGATTGGGTTCTGGTTAGTCAAAAGGTTGATAATTTATATGGCATGCTTCACAATCCTAACAGCAATCAGTAGAATTTGTATTAATAATAAAAACTACATTATAATGAAAATAGCAGAATTTCCATGTTCAAGTTACCTATGCCCCAGCAAACAACGTTTCATTAGCAAAAAACCATGCAATAGACTTGGCCGACTGGTTTATTAAGGCTAAATTCAACCAATGACTCAATGATCCATGCCTACAACATCACCAACAAACACAAAATAAAAGTACCGGTATATCAAGAACTGGTACAAATTAGTGATCACAAGCATACCTTCTGTAGTAACTAAGGGATCCATATGACCATGAAAGCACTCACTAGCCAAGCGCTCCCAAAAGTTGCTCATTGTATCATCATTCAAGCTGTCCATTGGGGTGTTGGTCATGTTGAACTCAAAAAAATTTAGTGCATATACTCCGCAATGAACAGTACAATATGAGGAAGACATTAGTATTAGAGCCAACTTTTACAACAATTGTATTATGTAAGTTTTATAAAAAAATTACCTTGCATCATTTGTTGGGACAAGAACGCGTTTGTGTGTTCACTTTTCCTTCAATAGTTCATCACCCAAGTGCTGAAACATCTCGCTGTCTCGCAACAGCCGCGGGAACAATGTACACAATGGTTGCATCTCCATGTCCTACTACCTCTCTTGACAAATACTCGAGTTGCAATCAAGGACCTTGAGCAAGCCCTCCTCCAGTAGCCAAACGACGGTTATCCAATGCATATCCTTGATGTTCACGATGCAATATACTCTTTTCACGTTTGCCCAACTGTTACCACATTTAGGCCTTTCCCCCCCTCACATCCTACATCATCTTCTCATCAAACTGATAGTCAGCAAGGACACCGTCTAACTCCTTTGCGACCATTCTTTTCCGCTTGCCTCCCCTTGTTGCACCTCCATCATTTGCATTTTTCTTTAACATCTCATATGTACTTACTAGGCTTTGGCCAAAGGACACATCAATGATGACACAGTGCAGATACAAAATATCACTATTAGTGCTCTGTCGCAACGTTATAAGTGCCAAAACCTCATCAATGTGCTGCATCAAATCAAAACAACATGATAAGTGTCATCAAATCAAAACCGATTGCTTAAGCGATCTGTTAAAAAAAAAAAAAACAGATTGCTTAAGTGATCACACAATACGCCATGGAAAACATAAGCAAAAATAAGGAAAAATACTGGAAAATAACTCACTAAGTCGTCAAGCCAGCGGTCCATTGTCAAAATTTGATCAAACCACTTCTGGGGATAATCCTTGGTCTTGCACTTCATAACCACATTGCTTCCTTCATCATTGTAATAGGCATAAAAGGAAATTTTCTCTTCCTCATCTACTGCCCTAAACAAATCAAGTTCTAATTGCTTCACTTCCCCACTTCCTCCTTGTTCCTCCGTATCAGCTTGCTTCCCTTCCCCACTTCCTCCTTGTTCCTCCGGTTTAGCTGGTTTAGCTTCTCCACTTCCTCTGGCTTCCTCCTTATTAGCCGGTTTAGCTTCCCCACTTCCTCTGGCTTCCTCTTTTTCTTTGCTAACTCTCCTATTCTTTTCATACCTTAATTCCATGAAAGGGGATTTCACATGCTTACTTTTTCGGGTCTCTCTTTTCTTTGGTTGAACTTCAACCATTTCCAAGACCACATCAACCTTCTCCTTCACCCTTTGCACCCTCTTTTCCAATTTATCTACCTTCTCATAAATAGTGTTGCTCAACATGTCAAACTTGTCATTCAATATGTCAAACTTGTTTAGACCGTTTATGAGGTCAACCAACTTAGATTGAGGATGCGTTGGAAAACCGGTACTTGCTGTACCGTTTTCCAATTAGGAGGAGGCATATGAACCTCAGCCTCCATGTCTTCCTCCTCATTTGTCCCGCGTACTACACCTTCGGCCTTAAACACATGCTCAACAAGAAGCCTTTCAACTGCAATCAAATGCGTGACTCCTTCTAAGTCTTGCATTAGGGGGTCTATCTTCTCATTGGAAACATCATCCAATGGTACGAACGATGTAACATAATCCATCATCGATTTAGCCCTAGTAGGAGTGATGAACGGATGGACCACTCCCTGCAAAAAGAAAAAAAAAAANAACAGGGCTAACTAAGCCTAAGTCTCTATACAATTGAATAATTAATCAATTTATCTAATAAATTATGTTAAAATTATATATATTATGAAAAATTAATTAATTAACAGGGTTGATTAAGCCTAATCGGCTAAACCTTCATACAATTAAATAAGTAATCAATTTACCTAGTAAATTATGTTAAGATTGAATTTTGTTATATTAATTTTATGAAAAAATAATTAATTAATAGGGCTAACTAAGCCTAAGTCTCTATACAATTGAATAATTAATCAATTTACCTAATAAATTATGTTAAGTTAGATATAGATATATTTTATTATGTTCGGGGAAAAATCCCCGCGAGGAGAATTTCCCCGTGAAGCCTCGTTCATCGAGCCGGGCTGGGACAGGGATGGGAGTGATTCCATCCCAACGGGTCGGGNGGGGGGGGGGGGGGGGGGGGGGGGGGGGGGGGGGGGGGGGGGGGGGGGGGGGGGGGGGGGGGGGGGGGGGGGGGGGCACTCGGGGCTTGCTTACATATTGCAGGGTTGTCTACGCGTGGATAGCCTTGCCAAAAACAACCTCCCTAGGGCCTCCCTTGCCTTCCTCGACCATTTGGAAGACCAAAACATCTACTTCTCTAATGCCCTCCAACTATTCGACAAAATGCAACAATGATCCTAACAACAAACACCAACCAAATATCCCTAAATTGGCACAAACAAGCAATAATTTCATAAAATATATAGATTATTACCTTTTCTTCATCTTCTTCCTCCTCGCCTAAAGTTAAGCCGTCATCCTCTTCTTTATTTTCAATTTCGACTCTTGCCCTCCCATGTTCAGCTAGCGAGATGTCTTCTGCTGGTGCTGTATCGTCTCCTAGTGAAGCAACTTTAGTCATCAAAAGTTGCTCCACCACAACCTCCGATTCTCCAATTTTCGAACCACTTGCGTCCACGCTTTGAAAAGGGGCCGGGTCTTTGTCAAAATCTTTGTTTAGGTCAGCCATTGTTTCTTTGTAAGTAAGAGGGAATGTCTTCAATACAAATAGCAAATGATTTCGACAATGGGTGGCAGAAAATGGAAAGAAAAACGCCGTGAAGGGTGGTTGTTTTTGTCGGGTTTCTTAGGTCGCTTAAGCGATTTGAATGTGGGGGGGTTGAGCCTGCTTAATCAATTTTGATTGGGGGGTCGTTTTTAATTTTCAAAATTTAATCAAATTTTTGTTAATTATACTATTTACCCACATATGTTTGAACTTTTTCAATTTAACAATTTTGACATGTTTAGTGATTCTTAAGTGTGCCACGTCAGTTTTTCAAACTTAAAAAAAAAAAAAAAAAAATGCAAAATTTTTTCAGGGTCATTTTTTTAAATGCAAACTTGGGAGGTTTGGCGAGTTAAATTTCCTCCTCGAAAATTGCCAACCTTACTGTGAACTAGGTTTATCATCTTCATGTTAAAACCCTAACGTCACCAATTTGGGGAAGCAATGGCTTAAGCTTCCAAGCTTGGAAGCATCATAGAGTAGCAACGCAATGGACCACCATGGCTTGGTAGCTCGTCAACGACCCAAATTAGCATTTAAGTACCGTCAAAGTCACAACCTATAGTGTGAAACTCAACATTGGAGGTGTCGTCTTGCTGCACCGTCAAGGTAGCAACTAGGGTGCCCTTCCAAGGTACTCACCTACAGAGCTTTACAAATATGAAAATATGTGTTAGAGAGAAGAAAGAGGTAAATGAGGGGTAGAAAGGAAAAGGCATTGAAGATACCATCTTAGTGTTTTCTTTAATAGAGTTTGGGTGGAAGTTGGGTTTTAGGGGGTGATTGATAATTTTAGAAAAATTTGGGGGGTGAGGAAGAGTCTATAGTTACCTAAAGCTGGAACTTCCGAAAATTATAAGGGGACAAATGATGTTCTCTCGGGATAAACTGATAAAGGTCGATAAAGAAGAGAGAGCGACACAAACGACGCAGGTAGTGAGAAAATGGAGAAGTACTTTGGAAATGCATACAGAGGAGACCCCGGTGTCCCGCACGCTGACCCGGAACGATTCTTCAATATATGGCTCGGAGCCATTGGCTTCTCTGTTTGCACTTGGAACAGTCCTTACTTGTGGCAGCTTTCCAATCAGTACAAGTACATTCTTCTTCTTCTCTCTTTTTATACTAATTTCCCTTGCTAATATGTTATTGATTATTCCAATCAATTCTATTTGAGCGTTGAATTTTCGTTAATTTATTCTTGGTCTTTGTTTGGCCTGCTTGCATGAAAGGATTATTTCTTTAATGGTTCTTATTTTGCTTAGGAGTTGAGTTTAATTGTGGGGTTTCGTTTGAGTTATGTAGGTCACAGCAGAGGATGTGTAATTCCCATTTAATTTCATTGCGTTTGATTAGCTTAATGGTTGTGCTGTTGCTCCGTCCCCTTTGCTTTGACCTAATTAAGGGCGAATCCCTTGCCCTTTTTAAATAAGCAGGGACCACACCTTCAATGGAAGTTTATTTTCTAATAGAAGGAATTTTGATATTTTCTAATTTATATGTTATTTCTATCTTCAGTTAGTTTCTAATTACATGGATTTTGTGGCATCTCATATGTTCATTCAAGTAAAAAGTGGTAAGTAATAGGGTTTTTAGTGTTGCCTATCAATTCTAATTTCTTAACATTTGAAAGAGAAAGAGTGCTTCGTCGAAGACAAACTGACTTTTTTTTGAGTATCTTGGCATGTGTCCAGCATAAGCTGAAAAGAGTGTGTTTGGATGTTGAGAACTGATGGGCATGGATTTTTTACATCATTATATATGGTTCTACCCATTTGGTCCTTAGCTTCCTGGGTTATTATTTGGCATTAATCACATGCTAAACTGTTGTTAATAGAAGCATCTCTTTGGTGATGCTTGAAATGTGCTAGTAGTTATCGCATAATTTCACTAAAAAAGAATCAGTGTTGAAAACCTGAGAGTGCTTAACTAATACTTTGGATATGGCTTTCAAAGTGTTGGAATTGCTTAATTCAGGAAAGTCACTCATGTTATTCTTGAGAATCTAGACATAACCGTGCCATTGCCTGGGTTATATAGTTTCTGCATTTAAATATTTTCTACGATCACATGTGTCCAATTACTAGGTTTTGCATATTCTGTTTCTGCATCTTGTGGGTGCATTATGTTACCATGGGTTGTCAGATTATTTGTTTTTCAGTTCTGCTTTATTCTTATTCTTTAGATTCTCTGTGTGCATGTACATAATTGTTTAATTCTGTTTGGCATGATGATTGTGTTTTGCTTTTGCAGCTTTAGTCCAATCTGAATTTGTGTTTTAATGTTTTTGCATGCTTCTCCTTTCCTTCTTCTGCTATCGGAGAAAGAGCTAACTATTCTTTGTCTCATATTTTTGAAATACTTAAATTGGCAGTTGGCATGACAAGGCAATGATGTTTGAGCATTACCACTGGAAGAAGGCGAAGGCGAAGAATCAGCCTTACAAATTTAAGGTATGTTGATCGATTTCTCTTGTAACACTCCTTAAGTTAATACTTACTGACTCAGCCCAATAGTTATCAAAGTCCATTAGTACAGCCCATATGAAAAATAATGAAAAGAAGGAAAAACGAAGAAGAGAGAACGTGGTTGAGAAATCTTTAGGAGAAGAAGTTATGAAGTGTTCCAAGGTTTGAAAGGAGACAGAAGGATGTGATAATCACATGTAAATTTCTTCTAGAGTGTGGTGATAATAACGTCTGAATTTTTTTAAAGGATGATAAGGCCATGTTTAACTTTTGATTAGAGAACAATAGCAAAATTCAGATTTAGAAACCAAGATAAATTTAGAAGCTTAGGAAAATTTTATTATATAAGGTAACTATTTTTGAGAGAGTTTTTGGATGTGATTACAAGTCTTTCACAAAGAACAGAAACAAAAGAGAGAATTTTTTTTGTTGAAGTGTAGAAGCTGTAGCAAGACGTTGAAAGTTCTTTGGTATAAAGGGGAAACAATTGGTTCAATATCATATTAATTTCTTTCTATCTATTATCTTTTCACTTTCCTGTCTATCCTTATTTTTTTACTTTCTTGTCTATCAATTGAAGTTGAATTTCATTTGTTCTTGTAGAAGATAAAAATAAAATAAAATAAAAATTATGATTATAAAAACATTTAACAAAATATGATCTATGTAAAATCCACTCACACCTTGTACCTAATCAATTCAGATATGCTTGTAAATCCACTGGCTACTAGAAGTCTTTTTAATCATAAAAGAAAAATATATATTTCAACTTCATACTAAACCTGTTTTTAGTGTCAATCAATTGACAGACCAAGAAGGTAAACATGAATACTGAAAAAAAGAAATTTAATGTCATACTAAACCTATTTTCCGTGCATTTCAAAATCCTTCCAATATATTGTCTTGTTCTTTGCAAAAAATCTTTTAATAACATGTTAATACTCTCCCAAAAGTAATCTCGAGCTTCTCTCTTCTCTTGATTTGAATTAAAATTTTCTTGTGTTCTTGGATAAAAAAAGAATCACAATCTTGTCCTCTCTTTTATGAGTTGAGAATTATAATTTATCGTCATATCCCTCTTTGAAAACTCAACAGAAAACATGCTTTCTCTTTATGAATTTTATTAGTAGACTTTGATGACCATTGGGCTGGGTTTGAAAGTATTAGCTTATTTCATGTTACATCTTTGAGCTAAAATATCTTGAATTTTGTATGCTAAGTACAGATGGCTTTTTAATTACATTGGCAATTTGGAAACCTATCTTCTCATTGTATCTTTTTTTTGTTTTCCTTCTTTTGTGGCTTCCAGTGGAATCAGTACATGGACAAAGAGCTCCGAGAAGCATATTATTACAACTGGCCTGTATACTTCCCTTAGGCTTTTCTGTTAAATATTTGTGCTTTGTTACTGGTGTTTTGAGCAATGAGACTGTACCCTGAAGACAAGTTTGTGTTTCCGCTTCTTTCCCCCATCCCCTGAGCGTCTTTCAGCTGCTTTCAAAGTTTATTAATTAATATTATGATCTTTTGTTTGTTACTAATTCTAATGATTTTGATGAGGAAGGCGCCCATTTTATACCAATTAATAAATAGTAAACTGAGCTGACAAAGATGGATGTTTTATTAGTGATTTAGATTTTCCGTAAGATTCCTATTAAAGAAAAATATTTCTGAAAGATGAATCAAATTTGGACGATATTGAGAGTAGATGATGGAATAATATTTTGTCAAGGAGTCCATAGACACAGAAAATTTGATTCCCTGACAATGGAATGTTCTGAAGGCATTTGTGTTATTCTCTTTTCATTGATACTTGCTTGGCTAGTCAGAAAGTGTCTCAACCATGTTCCTCGTACGAAAGCATAATTGATTTGTTGATTTTGCTCGAGAACTGTTGAAAGACAATGTAAAAGTTGTATGCAGTTGGTTAAGTTAGTCTATTAGTCTGGTACTCAGAGTTTGTTAGTTGTAGTTAGTTAGTTAACTCAAGTTAGTTGTTAACTAAATTGTTAAGCTTGTATATAAAGAAGCTAAACATTCAATAAAGGTAGTTAGTTCATTCTCAATCAAAATACTCTTCTCTGTTTCATTCCGCAAACTTCAACATGGTATCAAAGCAGTAGAGTTTCATTTTCGATCGACAATGAAGTCAATTAGAGTTATTCTTCTGTTCTAAATCAAGTTTGAAGAAACTCGAGATTCTTCAAATCTCTTTTAAGCTCTAGGGTTAGCTCGTTCCTTTCTGATTCAGCTCAAATTTGTTGTTTTAGCTCAATAGCCATGGCTAGTTCTATTGAAGATTCAGTTGTACCTTCAATTTATGCAAATTCACCTTTCTATGTTCATCCATCTGATACTCCAAGATCTATTTTGGTTTTTGAGCAGCTAGTTGGAACCAAGAATTGCGGGATTTGGAGTCGAGCCATGACTGTTTCTGTGTGTGCGAAGAATAAACTAGGGATTGTGGATGGCACATGCACAAAATTGGCAGTCCATTCACGCCTAGTACCACAATTGGAGAGGTGTAATTCCTTAGTTCTCGCCTAGATTTTCAATTCTGTCTCAAAAGAAATCTTCGATGGGATAGTTTATTCAACAAACGCTGCTCCAGTTTGGCAAGATTTGAAGGAACTATTTCATATAGTCAATGGAACCAGAGTCTTTAGACTGCATCGAGAGATTATCGATTTAACACAGGGAACGAATTCAGTAGCCATCTACTACAACAGGCTTAAATCTCTTTGGGATGAATTAGACTCTTTAGTCAATCTTCCTGTTCCTGACAACACTTCTGCAAAGGCCTATTTGGAACATTTGAATCAACAAAAACTCCTACAATTTCTAATTGGACTAAATGATTCCTATTCCATGGTTCGCAATCAAATTCTTCTCATGAATCCTTTGCCAAGTGTTATACAACCCTACTTTGTAGTACACCAAGATGAGAGTCAGAAAGTTCTAACGGGAATGAGTCCAAACACTGAGGTCACTACTGCATTATATGCACAGAATACTGGAAAAGGTCAGAGTCAGAATCAAAAGTATAAGGGCAAGAAACCATATGTTGAGTGTGATTTTTGTCATATAGTCGGACTAAAAAAGAGTCTTGGTATAAACTCATTGGATATCCAGTAGACTATCAGTTTACAAAGGGGAAAAATACTTACAAGAATATAGTTTCTGCTAATCAAGTTCATGCTCAGAACTCAACTTTTGAATTTGTAGAAGCTGGAAATTCTTCTGCTGCTGTGGTTGGACCAGTATTAACCACTGAGCAGTATAATCAAATTCTTCAATTACTGGGCAAGGAGAATGTTTCACCTCCAGCTGCAAATCTTGTAGGTACTTCGGTTGCTTTATTTCTTGCTTTAATAGCAATAAGTGGATAATTGATATTGGAGCAACTGATCACATGACTTACAATTACTCCTTGTTAAAGTCACCTATTGTTATAGAACCATCCTCTAAGTATCTTGTAGGATTGCCAAATGGAGCTAAAACGTATGTTAAGCATGTTGGGTCTGTTGAATTGGATAGTGGTCTTGGTTGGTCTAATGTTTTACATGCCCCAGAGTTCCTTCATAACTTGCTTTCAGTTTCAAAACTTACCATCTCTAACAAATGTTTTGTTACTTTTTATCTTGACTTTTGTTTAATTCAGGATCTTTACAATGGCAAGTTGAAGGGGATTGGTAGGTATAGTCAAGGCCTCTATTACCTTGATCCAAATCTGCATATTTCTTTTTTTGTATCAGCCTTTGAAAAGCACAATAAAATTGATTGTACAACTGAAAATTCATCACAGATTGTACCATCTACTTTTTAGTTCAATAAATCGTCTATTTTTCCTACTACTTGCATGACTACTTCTTTGTCTCACACTTTTGCATTGTGGCATCAAAGGCTAGGCCATGCTCATTATTCTATTTTATCTAATATTCATTCATCCACATTTGCCTAAACTAAACACATCTACTCTCTCGTCTCATTCACATTGTTTTGTTTGCCATTTAGCCAAGCAAACCAGATTATCTTTTCCTAATAGTGTTTCTCAATCTCAGCATAATTTTGACTTGCTGCATATTGATGTATGGGGATCATATAGAACTCCTACGAATGGTAATGCTAGGTATTTCTTGACATAGTGGATATCTTCTAGGAACTTGGTTTTCCTTAACCAAATCAAATCAGATACCTTTTCTACCCTTAAACAGTTCATACAAATGGTTCATACACAAATCAGTTGTATCCAAAGTGCATTAGAACTGATAATGGATCAGAATTTTTCAAGAAATCCTGTCATGATTTGTTCAATAGTCGGCATAATTCATCAGAGTTCTTTTGCCTATACTCCTCAACAAAAACATTGTTGAGAGGAAGCATAGCACATCCTAGAGGTAGCTAGAGCCTTGAAATTAAGTCCCATGTTCCCACACTTTTTTGGGGTTATTGTGTACAGGCAGCAGTTGACATATAAAACAGACTTCCCACCTTGGTTCTTAAATGTTTCACCCTTTGAGAAGTTTTTTCATAACCTCCTTCATTGGATCACCTAAGGGTCTTTGGTTCTTTGGCCTATGCTACATTCTCCCTTCAAAAGACGTTATTCCTAGGGTTGTTCCATCTGTTTTCTTGGGTATTCCTTACTCAAAGGCTATACCTTTATGATTTATCTTCTCATACAGTCACTGTTTCCAGGATGTATTTTCTATGAGCACATTTTTCCTTTTGCCTTGTCTCAGCCTTCCCAGGTTCCATTTCCACCTGATTCTAACTTCCTTGTTGAAGAATCAGATCAATCTTCTTCTGTCCAGGTGTCCACACCACCACTTTCTCCTAATTCCAATATCTCCTCGTTTCCTTCGGATGATCCTCCTAATTCAGATTCTTCTATTGTTTCTTCTCCTTTTGCTGTTATTCCTATTACTTTTCTGGTCTTAGGAAGTCCATGAAATGTTAACCTCCTATTTGGACTCAAGATTATATTGTCCTACCCTTTCAAATTCTTGTTCAACCAATAACATTACTTATCCCTATCTTATTTTGTCTCCTAGGAAGAATGTCTCACCTTCCTATAAGGCTTTTTTGTCCAATTTATCTTTGGTTGAACCCTCTAGTTTTCATCAAGCATCATAGGATCCCAATTGGGTTGAAGATATGAATAAAGAAATCCAAGCCTTAGAACTTAACCACACCTGATCCCTTGTTCCTTTGCCTTCTGGTAAGACTCACATTAGTTGCAAATGGGTTTCTAAACTGAAGTATAAGGCTGATGGAACCTTTGAGAGGTATAAGGTGCGGTTGGTGGCTAAGGGGTATACACAGCAGGCTAGTGTTGACTATGAAGAGACTTTCTCTCCAGTTGTGAAGATGGTTACTGTCCGAACTGTTTTGGCCTTGGCTTCCATGCATCATTGGCCTCTCTATCAACTTGATGTTGATAATGCTTTCTAGCAAGGGGATTTGCAAAAAGAAATTTACATGACTCTTCCTCAAGGATTTACAAAGTGGGGGGGGCAGAAGGATCTTGTATGTCGGCTTCATAAATCCCTCTATGGCTTGAAACAAACTTCTAGAGCTTTGAATTACAAATTAACCACAACTTTGTTGAATTGTGGATTCCAGCAGTCCAAATCAGACTACTCTTTATTCATTAAAACACAACATTCTCATATTGTCATATTACTTGTTTATGTGGATGGCATTATGATTATTGGAAATAATTGAGAGTTGATTCATAAGACTAAACAGCTGCATACCAATTTTAAGTTGAAGGACTTGGGAATGTTGAAGTATTTTTTGGGTTTGGAAGTGGCTAGATCATCTAAGGGCATTAGCCTATGTCAAAGAAAAGATGCATTGGAGCTCATTTCTAAATCAGGGTTATCTGGATCTAAGCCCTCTGCTGTTGCTATGGAGTCTAATATAAAACTTACCTCAACAGCCTATGATGATTAGTTTACTTCTGGAGCTAATTCTTTGCTTCCTAATCCTTCAATCTATCAACGTTTGATTGGCAAGCTATTATATTTGTGTATGACCAAACCAAACTTCAATTATTCAGTCAACTTGCTAAGTCAATTATGCATCGGCCTAAACAATCCCACATGGCAGTAGCTCTCAAAGTAGTCAAATATGTAAAATCAGCACCAGGTCTTGGTCTATTTTATCCAGCAAACAGCTCCTTGACTTTATCTGCTTTCAATGACTCTGATTGGGCATCTTGTTTAATGACAAGAAAATCGGTTACAGGATATTGTTTCTTTCTTGGTTCATCACTGATTTCATGAAAATCCAAGCGGCATGCTACATACAACCAGTTGGTTACGTTTGTTAGGTGAGTCTGTTAGTCTGTTACTCGGAGTTTGTTAGCTGTAGTTAGTTAGTTGAGCTTAGTTAGTTGTTAACTAAATTTTTAAGCTTGTATATAAAGAAGCTAAACATTCAATAAAGGTAGTTAGTTCATTCTCAATCAAAATACTCTTCTCTGTTCCATTCCGCAAACTTCAACAAGAACCTGTTCCTCTTCTGTTCAAAAACA